TTTTTTACATGGAAAATTCTAGCAAGGGAAAAAATCATGGGGCATGGCGCAGTCAAACTGATTCACTATATGATTGTAAGTACATTAGTTCACTCTTCTCCTAAATTAAGGAAGAAAGAATTACAAAGTTGATGTACAACAATAGTTCAATGATAATGGTCGCAATTGGGTTGTAGTTAGTAGCGATATTACAATAGCGGGCCGCAAAAGTTGTATTTGGTTGCTACAAAAGTAGTAGCTTGCACTGAATATTGTAGATCGTGGTTGTAATAGCATCAATTTGCTACATAGTTCGTGGTCAGAATTATAATAGCCTTAGTTCGCCACCGAGACCATAGTTAGAGATTGCAATGATCGTAGTTAGTCACGTAGGACGTATTTGGGAGTTAGAATAATATCAGTTGGTCATAGAGAATAGTTAGAAGTTGCATGAGCAGTGAGCCACATAGGTCATAGGTGATCATGTAAGTCATATTGGGAAGCAACAATAGCATCAGTTGGACACCGAGGCCATAGATAGAGGTTGTAATGATAGTAATTGATCACTTGGGTTGTAGTTGGTCAAGTTTGTAGTGTCTAGTTGCGATAACATCAATTGGCCACAGAGGCAGTAGTTGAAAGTTGCATTAGCAGTGAGCCACATACGACATAATTGGTCGTGTAAGCCGTAGCGGGGAGTTGTAATAGTATCAGTGGGCACTGAGGTCGCACTTGGAGGCTGTTACGACATAAGTTAGTCATGTATGTTATAGTTGGTCACGTAAGCTATAGTGGGAAGCTACGATAACATCAACTGGCCAACAAGACCATAGTTAGAAACGACATGATTAGTAAGCCACATATGTCCTAGTTAGTCAGGTGGATCAAATTGGGGAGATGCAATGACATCAGTTCACCATAGATTTCGTAGTTGGTGCTACATCAGTAGGTGGTTGCAATAAACACATCACTTGTTGACATACAATGTAAAAAGAGAACTTCAAGAGTCAGAATAAAGCCTTTGTCTTCTAAATACAGTGCTTGCAAGTAGTTGATGTAAGGATTCATTGACAGATCTTCAATTCAGTAATATTTGTTATCCCGTATTGGGGGTACATCATATTAGGGTGTGTTATTACATCGTGTCCATAGCACATTATTACACTGTATTTATGATGCTTCATTACACTGTAACTGGGGTGTATAGTTGCACGGTAGTCATGGTGTGTCATTACACTGTAGGGTTGACCTATGACTGCGAGCAGGGGGAGGTCGCTACTTTCGACGGCAGCCGACGATTTTGAAGGGCATAAGTTATCGATGGGTCTTTGAATCCAGAATAACTCTCAGATTTCACTCCTTCATGTCTCGGTGTCCCCAAGTTTTGATCCCCTTTCATAATGGGAGTAGGGTTGTATTTATAAATATTGAGAGTGACATCCTCTGTTGATATTACATGGATTCAGACCACTCGATGAGAAGTCCCGGAGTGATTCCTTGGGTTGAAAGATGTTTTTTGGACATTTAAGGTCATTAATGACATCAGAATTGAGTGTACTTAAGCTAGCTAGATTTGTCTCATTGAAACACTCAGTTTTAACTATAATTTTGTCAGATTTGTAATCCATTTAACCCTCAAATTGACAACCAAAGCTTTTAAAAAAAAAAAGTTTAATGACTTTATATGGGTTTAATTTGACTCGAATTGAATTAGTTTTAGTGTCATTGAGTTTGTCTCGTCGAGTCGGTCAATTTGATTGTAAGTATGCTTAAATTAGAGTAATATATGATTTTTAATTTGAGTTTGAATATTTCTTGCTCAAAAAATACCTTCATATTTCATATCATACCTCGAGATTCGTTTCAAATGATGAAAATTTGCTCAAAAAATGCCTTGATATTCAAACTTCCATATCACTAGTTGATCATTTTGATTTTGTCAACTCTTTCATGCTAAACCTACTTATGGGAGGGGGGATGGGGTGGTCATTTAATGGTATGGGATTTTGAATACATTTCTTTGAAGCTAAGCATGGTTGGAGAGTGCAAATTCTCTTCTTGTTTGGAGCAAAGATGAGAAAGACAGAGATGCTGCACCTAACGAATAAAGAGTTGGTGGACAAGCGCGTATGGATGCGAAGCATCAACTCCTACCAAATTAGCTGCACCTTTCACTTCTACATTCAAACCTGATTATATTTTCCTCTTTCACTAATATGCCAGTTGGAATTTATGTAAGAATTAGGGGTGTAAACGAGCCGAACACGACCTGAGTCTGGGCTCGTTTGTGTTCGGCTCGTTTATATTTCAAGCTCAAAAAGTGTGTTCGTGTACGGCTCGTTTGCTTAGCGAGTCGAACTTTTCTTAGCCGAACGGGAGCCGTTCACGAACAAAGAGCTATTTTGATAACCCTAATCACGCAGCCATAAGATGTTAAAGATCAGGAAAAGATTTAAAACAATATTTGAATCTATTTTAATAATCTTTATTCTATTTTATTCATTAATACTTCTACTCGATTATAAACTTTGTAGTCTTTTAGTCAATTAAATTTTTAAAACAAATTACTCATCAAAGATATATATATATATAATTGATTAGTGGTATTTCGAGTCAAAACGAGCCGAACACAAACAAAACACAAACGAACAAATATTTGTTCGTGTTGTTCGTGGTCGGCTCGCTAACTTAGAGAACGAG